CCATAGCTAGTACTGGTTGGTGCAGTGTGCTTTAGAGTTGGTTGCCACAGCTAGTACTGGTTGGTACAGTGTGCTTTAGAGTTAGTTGACACAGCTAGTACTGGTTGGTGCAGTGTGCTTTAGAGTTGGTTGCCACAGCTACAATGTAGTACTGGTTGGTGCAGTGTGCTTTAGAGTTGGTTGCCACAGCTTGTACTGGTTGGTGCAGTGTGCTTTAGGATTGATAGCCAAAGTGATCAAGTGTCGGTTGACACAGTAAGGGGGGGGGGGGGGGGTTGAAATGTGTCAAGGGTTAGTTGGTGCAGGTATCAGTAACTTAGGCCACAGTCAATGTCAGTTTTCCAATAATATATAAATAAGTTTTGAGGAAAATAATAACGTGTTACATGTACCGGATTCTGTCGTAAATTGGCCCAGGGCCGTTAAACGACAGTTTGGGTTTTACAAAAAATAAAATGGGACCAAGAAATCGCCCAGGGAGATTTTTTGGCAGTTTTTTAAGGTGTTATTTCAATCTTTTCTGATGCCTAAAAGTTTAGCCGTAGGTCAATGACGCATATTCAAGAATATTGATGTTTATTGTGACTAGCGTGAATGGGTAGCTTCGTTTCGACAATGAGCTGTTATCGCTGTAAACAATGTTAAATTATTATTCAAATGCTCAGTTTATCTTTTGAAAACAACAAATTTTTTTATTTAAAAACAAATCATGTCGCTTTCCCATCAAAATCCAAGCAAAAAGATCGTACAACATCGGCAAATCTCTTCCGTGCTGCGTTCAATAACATTAACATATTTAAATGAGCTATGGTAATTTGAACACGTTGGCATCATCCATCGTTTTCATTGGTTAATTATCAATTTGACCTGTCGATCAAAGAACAGCGTTCAGGTCAAAACATGGTGGATATTCATTTCTACAGCATCGAGTGTTGAAAATGCGATCGGAATCATTCGCTTACGATGAAATAAGTTGAAATTTATTTGCATTTCATACCAATTCAAAAAAATTATTTTTTTCACGTTATTTTAATCATTACTAGGTAATAATCAACAATCATGAAACGCAGCATGACCGGATTGCGCTACTGTGATCATTTGCTTTTAACTAATGCAGTTAGGTTCGTTTTTATTTGAAACTTCTTTTAGAATATACTGCTGTTAGAAAATGAAACAAAATAATTGTATTTGGCGCACGAGGTTCGTTAATGTGATTTTTTGGGAGAAAGATGCGTGGTCTACTTTTTAATCCAGCAAGAACAAAATGTATAAAATTTAATAAATTGCAATAGTGTCTTTCGTTTTGGGTAGTCCAACTGCCGGCGTTGAAAATCGACGTAGGTGGATTTTTCAATGAAAATATAAGCCCCCTAAAAATATTTGATGATAATTTTTTGAAAATTTGAACCCCAAATAAGGGTCCACCACCAGGGCGATTTTTCAGATGGGCGAATTTACGGCAGAATCCGGTATAACCTCAAGACATGCATACATACATGTATGTATGATGCAAACCACCAAATGAAATAAACCAAAAATTCCATTTAATTTTTGCTGAAATATTTTGCCTTCAGACAAGTGTTTTTTGATGTGAGTGTATGATTATAGAGCACCCTGAACTTTCCATGGGTAGGGTTCAGGTTGTGGATTGATGGGTGGGATATTGTTATTGTTGTCTACTTCCTGAAAAAATACTAAAAAAATGTACATGTACTGCCAGTACCCGCATATCCACTTTCAAATTAGCCAAAATGCAAAAAAGGATACATGTATCACTTTTGAAACAATTTTATGAAAAATGTATAGCCCTATATGAGTGACTCCATGTTAACCCACGGGTGTGCATGGGGATTCAAGTAAAAAGAACATGACTTATCAAGGAAAGACAGACTGCATAACTTTCACTAAAACATATTGCTCAGTTGATGGATTGTTCAGAGTTTTATCAGAGCAGTATCGGCCAAGAAACTTGTAAAGATGATATTTGACAACTTGAGCCGAGCTGCAAACACCAGTTTGTTTCCCAGTAATTGACAGTACAATGGGTGTCAAATATGAATGACATTGACATGGTTAGAAAAACATTAGAAACAGTTGTTTCATACTAATTTTTTTTGAAAGCCATCAATGACCAGTGACCTGTGATGTTCCAACCTAGGTGTGAATTAGCGAGCAGCGGAGGGACACTGTATACAGCTTTCCAATGAAATACAATAATTAGTATTTGAGGTATTGGTGGAAAAGTTGAAAATGTACCTATTAATATGCACAAATTTTAACCCTAGTTTAAAACTAATCAGGTCCAGAACACCTATGTACAAAGTTTCAGACGTACCAGGTACATCCATACAGCGTAAAAACAAAGACTCTCAAAGCACACAGGAGTAAAAAATGCATCAAGTTTTAGTACTATTTATGTACCCTATTCCCACTCCTTGTAAACCCAGTCAAGCACTTCATTTCTAGACATCGCAAACGCCCAATAAAAAAAAATTCCTCATCTGAAAAGGTCTATGTAAATGAGGACATTCAGCATGGGTTAACTGTCTGACTGTCAAAACAATATACTCAATGGACTGTAAATAACATCTCTGTGACGGTTCGCAATAATATATCAGTAATTACCGCTACAAGAAATCAGCACAATTTAACATCGTAAATTCTGTGACAATTCCGGCAGAAGTGATTTAATTCAAAGTTGCTATGGCGACGGTAATAATCTAAATCTAACATTAAAAAATATGCTTAATTATTTTAATTTTCTTCACTACTTTAGTGGTAGACCTCTCACGATTTGTTGTACAGGAAATGTCCAAAATATTTGAGAAAAAAAGCACTCATGAACCACAATTGAATGTTAAATGAGTGGCTACCTGAGTCTTATTCAAATAATTCTATCATTTTGTATAGTCATGAAATGGAAAATATACCTCAACATTATGTCATAAAATGGGTCATACTATTTCCAGTAGAGGGGGTTTCAGGTTACACTTGAATATTCAAAACTGAGCTTTACATTTATGAGATGGGTTTTAATAAAAATTGATTAACTCTACTTGTATAATTGTAGCAGATAAAGTAATGTATACTGGCAAATGATGTGTATCGGCTGATATATGCATGCAGGGATAGAGTTAAAATCTACAATTATTACTATATTAATATTGTCTAAAATTATCAGTTTTAGTATTAGCCAATAGTATGTGAACTTTATGTTTGAGAGAAATGGTATATAATATTGTATAATAATATGCATACTGAATTGCCATTTTAGTAGCAGTTTCATTCCTCTTTCAAACCCTACTAAAAATAATCTAATTTTTGTAATAATATTTCTTGACATCAAAAACTACCTTGTAAAACACTGTACATAATTTTTTTACCATACGTCACCCATCAACATTTTGAGATATTCAGATATATCACTGCCATAGAAAACAATGGTAAAATTAAAACATGCTATTTTTACTGTATATTATTTTCTCTGAACTGAGTACAGTGACCCTATATTGTTTACTAGTATTCATTTTCTTCATCAAAAATCATTTTAAATTTTTAGTTTCTCTTTTTGATATTTAGTATATCCGACATATGAAATCGAAGATAAATTTTCAATCAGTTTGAAATGTTATTGTTTTTATATTGATTATGTTTACTGGCGAGAGACAGATGTACAATATTTGTGTTTGATATCAAGTAGGTACTGTGCTGTATTACGTGAGCCGATATGGTCTGCGTGTGTTTTAAAAAAATGGTCATGTTGACTTGACAACAGGTCACTTGGGGACAATCTGATGGTTTAAGACGAGACTAGCAAAAATATTTTCTCGTGACAAATCCCGCTGTGTCATGATCTAAACATATCGGACACAACCAGGAAGAAAGAAAAAAAAACATACCTCCTCGTGGGACCACTCTTCAAGCCAGACTGACAAATGGTCGAGTTGACGATCGAACTCCATCATGGTTTGGCTGAACGGGGCTCTCCCACGCCCAAAATGCCACAATCTCGGCGACTGTATCCCTTCTGAGGTACCGTTTTCTCCATTCTGGTCGTTAGCATTGAGTGTTGTAGCCATGTTGATGGTGTTTGTTTTAACGTGTAAGTCAATAAGTTTGTGGTGGTTTAAAGTCGGGGTCCCCTCGATCTGCCCCTTCGCATCTCCCGACCAGAGTCGATGATCACGGCTATTTTCACGCCCGTGTCGCCATCATCCAACAATAAATACAAACACCAGTCGATACCAACAAGTTCAGTTCAATTTAGGCTAAATAAACCCCACACCGGTGTAGACAATCCCACACACGTCTCGCCGCCGACAGTTGAAAGTTTATGTGTGGCAAACTCAAGTCATGCGTGCTACTATTTTCTGGTTAGGTAAGCTCGTTAACGTTAGAAAAGGGGTGTCGATATTTTACTGTAAATCCGTTTCTTGGCCGCATTAAGTTATTGTAAAATTCTCGCTAAAACGACGAAAAAGTTCATTTATGCAATAGTCTCAAAATATTTTGAATACAAATATTGCGCCGGTCGTTATGAGCATATACCTATTTCTGAATAGTTTGGTCCAAGCTTTTAACTTGGCAACAAGGCAGGTGAGCTCATGTTTAATTCATGAACAAATTGCACTTGTTGAACACGTGAGCTGGTGTGTTTAATTCTCGTCGGTTTAAGATACACAGCTGCTGATTGAAAACATCATTTTAGCGTTATGGAATTGATCACAATTATATTTTTCAAAAATGCTATTGTTACGTTTGGCCAACAATGTTAAAATAAAATACTTATTAAATATCAGTATTTTTTTGTTGCCATAAAATTATTATCATATCATTAATTACTACTAAATATATATTATATCTATGCAGGCGAATACAAAACGCTGTTATTGAATTTGTATATGTACCTTTCAAATTTACCTCAACATACTTATAAATTATGTCATATTTACGTTTATTTTATGGCATCATAACTGGGTAATTTCAAAACATTATATTTGCACATTTAATAAATTATGCAATATTCATGATTTTAAAAATCATGAGAATTTCTGATTTTTGATTAAATTTATATCGTTGCATTATCAACATGTTTGGAAATCGTCATAGGTAAAAGAAAACAAATCAAAGAAACACAGGAATATTAAAGCGGGTGTCGTCACCTGCGCATGCGTTAGATGGCCATAGCGTATCATTGCGTTGTGTCGTCACCGGAAGCGCTGTCCCAGCACAAACCTGTGTCATATGACGCCTTACTAGCCGATTTTGGCTAAAATTCCGCTCCGCCGCCTCTTTACAACAGTGTTTATACGCGGAACTTGATATTGCTTTTTACAATTTGGGTTGCCTTTGAATCACATATTTTAGTGAAATATTGTTTATAGAGTGAAATATTATTGTCATACATAATTCAATCTTTGAAACAACAGAAAATAACACATAATAACGATAATCAAATTTGTGTTTGAAGTTCGAAAGTAGTTGCGTTATTTCCGGTTTCAACTAGTTCGAAAATAGAACGTCCTTGAGCGCAATAAAATCACGCGTAGAACTCCATCCGAACCAGACTCTATATATACAATGGTTAAAACTTAACAAAAAATATTTTAATCTTATAAGAGATATTTATTTATGCACGGTGTATGTCCCACCAGCTGATTCCTCATGGTATGTGAATAACATAGACATGAACCCTTACCAGGCTATTGAACAAGAAATACAAAATTACAAAGAGAAAGGTGCAATAATGAT